TTCACGAATTTGCGTGTCATCCTTGCGCAGGGGCCATGCTAATCTTCTCTGTATTGTTCCAATTTTAGTATATGCTCATTTCTGAGCGAACATGTAATGTCACTTTCTGTCTATATAGCTGCCCATTTTCGTGTTGCGTATGTCGTATGGGTGCGGTGTTTTTTCAAACAAGTGGCAACCCCTTATAAACACTTCCTCCGACAATCAATGCAGTTTTAATTGTAAATTGACGCTGTTTTAATTTTGTTTTCTTCATTGATGCTATATAAATAATTGACCAATTCAAATACAAGCACAGAAAACCTAACAATCCAATACACAAATATTTTTTTTCTAAGAGAATCGATTTACTCTATCTTTGCTGAATTTCCAAACAGCATGAACTTGATATTCATTCAGTTTCTGCTGAAATACTTCCATAATCTGCGAAGAATCTTGTAGAGTTCTTCTAATTTCATGATAATCACTGACGTTTCACAGAAATCATACAGAAGAGAAAACAACTTCTGTCAGTGAAACGATCAATTGTAAACACCTTGCAGAATTTTAGTAGTTTTTACCAACATTGCGGCAACATGCTACAATTTGAAATTTATTACATTATGAAGTTTGATCACAAATATTATTCATCCAGTTGCTTTAAGTGTATATGGTCTTGTAAATGTAAGGATCCTAAGGAAAGTATAAGCCACGCGGTTCTTATATAAATCACGAATTGAAATCTTGGAAAAATGAGTGTAGCCTTTAGTTTAAAATCAAAGAAAGAAAGTAACCGGCGGAAGGTAAGTTTTCAAGGTTTTATTCTGAGAAACCTTCCATCTCGTTCAGCTCATGTTTCGAACCGAAGCAATGGAAGCTGCGTCATCTCTGGAATTAGACGACATAAATTTCGCAAAAGCTGTGGAACTGTACAAGCTTGACAGCCTTGAATGCAAATTACATGATCCTGGGAACTCCAAGTTTGTTCAAATCAATCAGCTTTCCTAACTTATGGCCTAGACCCATGAATTGCCGAGATAATCCTTATTGTATAAATCGTCTCGGATTAGATAAATTTATGAAATTATTGAAAGAAGAACAACAAAGGAATGATAAAGTTTTAAAGGTTAGATAATGTTGAACTGCCTCCAACTTCCAAAGCTTCCAGGGACAAAAACGAAGAGATACTGTTGATATGCCATGCGGTTTAGTCAATACGGGTAATTATTGTTATGTAAATAGCTTTCTACAGGTAGAATTAACTTTTATCTAACCTTTTTTCACCACATTCCACGATAGGTCTGGTTTAATGATCCAGGTTTTCGGCAGATTATTTTTGACTGGAGAAACTCGAGTTCATATGAACGGTTTTAATACCATCTGCTTCGTTAGTATTATATCTCTTCTAGGCCCGAACCCCCATATATGGATGTAGAAAGTGTTATGAGCAGCTTACAACGTTTATTTTTTATTATGCAAACGACACCATATGTAAGTATATCGGGAAGTTTTGAATGATCAAATGTGTTTCAGTTTTCAACGGATGAAAATAGTGCCTTCATCAACAGTTTGAGATTAGATAATGAACAACAAGATGCTCAAGAATTCACTCTGGTCATGTTTGATGCACTCGATCGCAACCTCCTGAAGCATCCGAATGGAGAAGGAGTACGTCAAGCTATCAAAGATCGATTTACGGTGGGGTTCATTGAATTTTGTGAAAAAATACAATTTATTTGCTAGGGTCTCATAAGACAAAGGTTGTTTTGCACTTGTCCTCATAAAGACAGTTACAGTGAGACTCCTTTTAACTCTATCCAACTTACTATAGGAGAAAGTAAGACACTAACGGAAGCTCTAACTCAATATCTGAGCGCGGAAGTGTATTCGTTTTTCATCTTCAAAGATTTCAAAGTCAATTTTCCAGGCTAGAGGATTACCGCTGTGATTTTTGTCAGAAGGCAGGAACTGTTAAACGGCAAGCTTCTATCGAAAAATTACCAGAAGTTTTGATGATACAACTTACACGTTATGTTTATGATGCGTATGTCGAAAGTAGTCAACATTGAGTTCAACTACTGTTTTCAGAACCGGCAGAAAGAAACTCAAAACTCCTATATCATATCCTAAGGAATTGAGTTCATCAATACTTGTGAGCAAAGGGGAAGAGTTCAAATATGAGTTGTTTGCTGTTATGATACATGAGGTAGTAAAATTTTCTTTTCCAAACGTATTCAGTTTTAGGGTAATAACGCTCATTATGGTCACTACTATGATCTTGTTAAAAACCCTACAAACGGGAATTGGTATAGATATAATGACGAGAAAGTTGAGAAAATAAAATCTCCAGGGAGTTGCGCGCCTCCACCTCAAAGACCAACAGTTGACATGAAAGTTAGTTCAATCATATAAACAGAAGGTCCGTATTAAATTCTTAGGCGTGTTATGGGTTGCTTTATCGAAAAAAGAGAGATTACGATGACTTTATACTTCCTCCAAAAGAAATCAGTTGCTCTTGGGAGTCGAAGGTATGTTCCAATTCTGTAGTGTGTACGAACTTCTACAGATGGAAAATCTGTACACTGGTCAAACACTGAATGCAGTCGAAAAGTCAGAGTTCCGATTGACTGAAGTGAAGGAAAGATTCGCTCCATTAGAACAGCTTTTCAACTCTCTGAAGGTTTGATGGGTTAAAGAAGCTCACGAAATCATTGAAATTGCAGGCTCACTCGGGAAAGTTCAAAAAACCAAGAGATATAGTTTTCATTCCATTGTCTTTACTGTCGGATGTTCTCGCGAAAGAGTATGATAGAATCGAAGCTCTAGCGGATTCTATAAATGAGATGAAACCAATAGAGGTAAGCTAAATTTTTAACTAAAAAGATTTCTGAACTGTCTTGCAGGGTGTGAATGAGGCTACTAGAAGACGGTAATTTTTCAATAGTTCAGTTCATCTGAACATTTTTTCAGATTGCTGAGAAAGTCGCTGCTGACAATTCCGAACGAACAAGTTGCCGAACAACTCGAAAAACATACGCTTTCATTATGTGTACATGGGCGAATTGACATCGATTCTGTACTGAATTGTTTTTTGGTTATTGTATTTTTTCTTTTTTCAAGGTGCTCTATGGCGAAGTAAAAGCCGTGTCACGGTTAGCTGCCGAAACTCTTCTGACTAGGTATGCTATTTCCGTCACAAAACAAAATGCTGAAGGAACGATGGAGAAAACCAAACTTCCGAATGGGTTGGTTATAAGATGGCTTATTTCAAACGTTTATTAACTGATCAGTTGTGAAATCTGTGTGGAATGCTGCAAGCAGTTGAAGCGAGAAGGACATTTTAACAAACAACTTGGTGATGGTATCAAATTGGCAAATAAGATAATCAGGGAAAAATGGAGGTGATATGCATGCCACTCATGCCAGTTAAAAATGATTTTAGATGCTCATTGTCCAAGACACCTAAACCAGAGGGATTTCTGTATGTATCGAAGAAATGTTTGCAACACTATCGCAGACTAGCTACCCAGGAAATGGAGTTTCAGCAATCATATAAGGAAAACAAGACTTTAATTATCTTCAGTGCGCATAAACTTCTTAACGTAAGTGAATGTAGAGATGAATTATAAGCGACGCTTCATTTATCTGTATACTTTTATTTTTGATTCTGATTGCATGATGATCGGTTGTGCACAAAGATCTCACGTTGCATCTAATTCATAAAATTTTGCAGGCTGAAAATTCCAGTTTTGATAAAGTTTCCAAACTAGAATCGAGATCTAGGAAGAGGCCGATCGATTCAGTATTCGAAGCATCAGGAAAATATAGAGTATTTTTTCTTTTTCCGTAGGTAATTGAAGACAAAATTAAGGTAATACACACTGAAAACGAGATCACTATTGATGGTAACGAAGATAAGGTAGTCCGTCTAACATTTGCGAAAGCCTCAACAACACCATGTTCAGACTGTATCAGAGCAAACAGAGAATAATGATATTAGTGATGCTATTAGTTCAGAGATAATAGATACTGAAAGCTTGGGAGAAGACTCTGAAACCAAAAGGTTCGTAGTTGAACATTGCATGTACGGTTCACCCAATGTTTCAGTCGTTCACCATCATCGAGTGATAAAGATTTTAAATCTGGGCCTATCGAACATCCTATTGTTTTCAATGATTTGCTGAAATGCCCACATGGTTACACATTTAAAAAGCAACAAGAATTTAATTTTCTATTCCAGATGGGATAAATGTTAGCGAGTTCAGAATGGCCGTTTCTCCGCAGGAGTTCAACGACTTGGTTTCCCTTTTTTCTAGCTCAGTTCAAGTAAGTATTCTTGCTTCTTCTTTTTCGATTTCGAGTCCTGCAGGTGTCGTGTACCGATGAGATTTGCCAAGAATGCCTCAAGTTGGAAGCAGAAGCCCAGTGCGAAAAAGAAAAGTGTGACTCTCAAACAAGGCAATACTGCAGTAAATTCAGTGAGATTTTGAGAAAAATAGAGAGAAGAAAACCAAATGTGAACATCACCCTCTGTTTTCAATCTGTAACAATCATTTTTAGGGAACTGACGAAATATGTTGCCGAGGGGTTTGCTCATTGTTTTTACAGAAACTCAAATCTACGTGTAGGAGGTTATCCCCTCACTACGGTACTCGAAAAACTTTTATCTGAAACTTTCAGACCTAAAGATGCTGGTTTGGGATTGATTTGTCAGGAACATTTATTATGTAAACATGGTCTACCATATAAAAAGATAGCTGAGTTTTCTGGAGAGAAACAAGTCGCGAAACACTTGAACACCCTATGCAACACATTTTTTCAGGATTTAACAATAGTACCAGTCACATTAGAAGAATGGCAGAGTTTTGTCGAAGCTTGGAAAGAGTTATGGCCAAACTCATCACCGCAGGAGATTGTGTTGAACGATGGTAAGTCAAGAAATATTGTTCTCAACGAAACTTCTAACAGGTGGTGTGAAAGAGTTCTGTGTGGAATGCGCAAATGAAGAAGATGAATCTCAAGAAAAGTTACTGTACGAATACTCTGATATGCCGATCTATATAAAACTTGTGAGTACATGAGACTTTTCGTTATTTCTATCTTCGTGTGATTGCAGCAAAACGATGGTGACGAGTCTGAAGAGAGCACTGAACTGAAAATTTCAAGACGTGTGCGGGCGAAAAACTTTCTGAAAGTAAAGGTAGTGAAGAATATTATACACAAAAAATACTAACCTGAGTTCAAGATGTCTGGAAAAGATGAAGTTTTAACTTTAAAAGTTAAACTGTACAAGGAAACTGGTCAGTCTCCAAATGATCAACTCTTATACTCCGCAGTTGGTGGTTGTCTCTTAGACGATAGTACCACATTACAAGATGCTAAAATCTTACCCAACAACTATAACAATGTAAGAAAAATACAGTTGCAGTTTTATTTTTTTTTTCAGCCGCTTGTTCTCATAACACAATCATATCAAAATGTTTCAAGTACGGAGTCTGAAACTCATGGTCCGGAACGGGGATTCTTAGATACGGCTCTGGCACATTAATATATTAATTTATTTAATATTTAAGAATATATTTTTAAATCAGCTCAATCATTTTTTGCATTATCTATGTAACATATTTGCACATACCTCAATTCTACGGATCTCTTCGCTTCTTTTTCTTTTCTGATTGCGAAGTTAAATAAACATGTCTAAACTACATAATTATGATATTCCAACTATGGTAGTTGCCATTCAATATTTGAACTGTTTCATCGTCCAACCCTTTTCCGTAATGTGTGCTACAGGCTTCATTTTTGATGACGAGATGTGAGATTTAAACTTTTCTTGGGAGTCATCGTTTTCTTCATAGTACCAAATGGATTTATGGAACATAACTACTTTAATTCCTCGTTTTCGCTATTCACCTGCGAGAGGTAAGAAAGGCTGAATGCGTTCGGTGAAGTTCGTTGTGTTTACGTCGATCAGTGTCATGATACTGTGATTGATATACTTTGACTTTGACTCTAAGAACACATTCACTTTCTGTTTCAAATATCTTGGAGCATCCTAGGCTGTGAGCGGGAGAGAGAATTGAAGCAACGAGATAATATAATAGTATGAGAGGTTCAGACAAGTAACTAACGCTTGCTTTTCCACGGGCGGTCACCACCATTCGATTTTCTTTAATCTTCAAGCTTTTGTGATTCTCTCATCTATGCGTCTTCTCAATATCTTGAGTTTTTGCGCCTTTTTCAAACAGTAAAAAGAAGTTAACATAAATAAAACTTGCTCGTCGTGTTTGTTCCCTCCGTTAATAATTTTTCCGACATTTTGTATTGATCAAAATACTTTGGACTCCAGTTTTCTCTTTAGAGCGCCTTTTCTTCAACACGTGTTTATTTTGCGCATTTTGTATGGTTACGCAGTATTTTTAATTATTTTGATCTGTTAAGAACCGTAGCCTTTGCTCTTACGCACTTGATAAAACTCTTTTCCAATTGGTGTTGCTATTGAAGCCCGTTTTTTTCAGTTTCTGAAGGTTGTTCGGAACTGATTGCTAGCGATATGCCTTTTTGGACTACTCAGGTATGCTTAGCGAAGAATGAAGAAAATATCCAAACAATGTTTAGGACACTCGCAATGCTCTATTGGCGACTCTTCTTCCTGGTTCAGCTGTAGCCGCATCATTGGCATGCTATATTCCTGATAAGGAAACCGCCAGTTGGTATTCGGTAAAAAAAATAAAGTAGTCTCGTACCTAATCATGTTTCTCCTGTAGGCTCTCCGCAAGCCAAAATGGGCTCCAACAGATACGCGTTTTTATGCCATAAGCGACATCCTGACTATCTCTCCTCTGGGGTATGCTTCCTACTTAGTCTACAAAAATGGTGGAGGTTTGTGACAAGCGGGGTTCGCAGTCATAAAAGAAACTTAGGCTTTGATTACAACGACACTACTTGTGCTCTTGCTTTATACGGAACCAATATTGCTTTGGCTTTCGGAACGATAATCACAGCCAAGAAGAAGAATCTTTCCTGTGTATTTAAAACTAAATGAAAACCATTCTGAAATTTTATTTTAGCTATGGAAGCATACACTCTTGGTTCACGCTACTGCTGTTTGTTTTGCTTTTGCATTCTACAAGGTGCGTAACTTTAGTTTATTTGAAAAAAATGTTAAATTCAGATTGATAGCCATGCTGGGCTTTGGGCTCTTCCTTATGCCCTGTGGACAGGATTCTATGCTTGTCTCACATATTCAGGATGCAAGGAAAATAAGGATGATGAATAAGCCATCAAGAAAACACTCAATTATTGTAAGCATATAAGACTGTGGTTCCTATTGCTAATTAATTCATAATGTAAATGAACTCCTTAGTCGAACAATAATACCTCATAATTGCAATTTGAATAAACTATTTGTAGAAAACTTTGTGCTGAGTTAGGAACCTACCAGTGTTTTCGTTAGTAGAACGATAATGATACTTTTGCGGCTTGTTTTCAGATCTCCCTACTGTTTTCTTGCAGATTTTTCTCTAAACCAAACAGAATGTCGAAAATTGTCTACAACAACGTATGTTAAAACCAAATCCGCTACTGCGTATGGTTATACTCTATTGAGTTCAAATGAGTTTTCATTTCTAATATCTTATACGCTGGAGCGGTTGTCTTTCTATTCAGTAATTCGGGAATTATTTTTGTGAATTTCAGGACATGAAAAATAATGATATTTGGGATGATACGGCTTTGATTCAAATGTATGAAGATTCAATGAGTGATAAGGTATTTTGCATTAGTTATACTCTATAAGATGGTTTGTGCAGAGACGAACTGCTTCGTCCACTACTAATGCCGCACATCACAAGGTAAACCATCTTAGAAGCATTCTTTAATGAAGTTAACATCACAGTGGAAAATTGGTGAGAGATGCATGGCTCCGTTTTACGAAGATAATCTCTGGTATCCTGCTCAAATAACTTCTTTTGATGAAGCAAACCAGAAGGTTACATAGCATTAAATATATTCATGAATAGCTGCTCTTTCAAGGTTGAAGTTCTTTATGATGGTTACGACTGCTCCGACTGGGTTTTGATTTCCGACTTGACTGAGTAAGTCTCACTCTTCTTTTCCTCTGTTTGTAAATATTTTGTCAATGTCCTGTGTATATTCAGTGGAAGAGGTTCATCCCTTGTACAGACTATCTCTTTTTATTTTTGGTGCATTTGAAAACATGTTCTTATTATAGATGATATTTTTAATTTTGCATACAATCTCCAAAGTAATACACATCTTATTTCCTTTAGGGTGTGTTTCACTGATCCTTTGCTAAAAATTAATTTAAAATGATCACAATACTCTTATTATAGGGAAGTTGAGGCAGAATATTTCGAAGAAGATACTGATAGTCAAGTGGAATCGAAGCCAAACGTAGATGTGAAAACAAGTAGTTTTCAGCTAGATCTTTAAGAAACTTTATTTATCTTGCAGGAGTTGCTGCACCTCAACCTTCCAATGAAGAATACCCTTCTACTAGTCGACCTGTGAGTTTCTTTCATCTTATTAATTAACAATGTTTTCTTAAGCTTCCTCCTTTCGCTCCACCTCCACCGCCAATGGTCTTGTCTAAACTGGCTCCACCTAATGAAGTTGAAGCACTATCAAGCATGCTCATGAGCTGGTATATGAGTGGTTATCATACTGGCTACTACCAGGTATCGATAGCATGTCTTTTGAGATACATTATTTTTTCAGTGCATGAATGATACGAAGAGGAAGTCCAATTCAAAATAACTCTTGAAGCCTAAAGCAATTCCTGTTTTAATTTGGGTGAATCGATTCCAATGTTTTCATTTTTTTGATTTCTTAACAAATTCTTTGGTCTCTCTTTATGGGTTTGCTTTATGCAATTGAATTTGTTTACGTTAATTGAGAATAAATGTAGATTTTTGTTCTTTCCGAAGACGTATCTCAGCAGCACAGACAATGTGAAATGCCAAGGTTTCTGCTGACAAAGAGGCGTGTCCGTGTTTATTGATAGTATTAGATTTCACGTTTTGTTGCCATGGATACAACAAAGGCTGCCATATCCTGCTAAACCACAATCACTATCGGTAGGCTTTTTGGTTGCGAAAGCTTCAGTCATTTGTTCTAAATCGTCAAGATGGCTCCTAATGGAAAAATGGTGAGTTTTTTTCAAAAAATACTTGTATGTAGAATATATCTTACTTCGAAATGATTTTAGCGAGAGATTATCTCTCTTCATGTTGGACAAGCAGGTGTCCAAATTGGAAATGCTTGCTGGGAGTTGTATTGCTTAGAACATGGAATTTTGCCTGATGGAACCATGCCTAGTGATCAGTCCGTTGGTGTTGAAGATTCTAGTTTCAACACTTTTTTCTCGGAAACTCAAAGTGGTGAGATTCGAATGAATGAGAGAGAGTGTCTCATGAATTATATTGAATCAGTTTAAATTACATTATGAAGGGCAAGCAATGCTTGATTTCCTCCGTTGATATGCCCGACATTTGTCATGGTAATGTCATGGCAACGAAATGCATAAACAAAAGAGATATTTTAATAAAATGAAATGAGGGTCAGGGAGAACAGATATTAATCCAAATTGTTCAGGAAAACACGTTCCGCGAGCTATTCTCATTGATTTGGAGCCAACCGTTGTTGATGAAGTACGCACTGGAACATATGCGAAATTGTTTCATCCTGAGCAACTTATAACTGGAAAAGAGGTATGTCGGAATGAGAATGGGATTATGAGAATGTAAACCAGGATGCTGCCAATAACTATGCGAGAGGACATTATACCATTGGAAAGGAACTTATTGATGTTTGCATGGATCGCATAAGACGTTAGTTTTGGTCCTCTCAGACTGTCATTATGCTCTTCCGTTGAAGGACTCACAGAGTCCTGCCAATCTCTGCAAGGTTTTCTCATTTTCCATTCATTTGGTGGAGGAACAGGCAGTGGGTTTGCCTCATTGATGATGGAAAGACTATCAGTTGATTATGGAAAAAAGGCTAAGCTTGAGTTCAGTATATATCCAGCTCCCCAAATTAGTACATGTAAGTAGTGGTAGATAAAGTTTCTCCATTGGATAGTTTAGCTATGGTTGAGCCGTACAATTCTTTACTGACTACTCACACTACCCTGGAACATGCCGACTGCTCCTTTATGCTGGATAACGAAGCCATTTATGATATTTGCAAACAAAATTTGAGTATCAGAAGGTATGCATTTTTACTTATATGTTTTGTATCGTTTATTTCTAGTCCCACGTATACCAATTTGAATCGGTTGATAGCACAAGTTGTTTCCTCCATAACTGCTTCTCTCCGATTCGATGGAGCCTTGAATGTGGATTTGACTGAATTTCAGACTAATCTCGTTCCTTATCCACGTATTCACTTCCCTCTCGTTACATACGCTCCAATCATTTCATCGTGAGTTATATGGTTTTGATCAATATAAGTGTGAGTTACAGGGAGAAAGCTTTCCATGAACAACTAACAGTTTCTGAAATAACGAATAAATGCTTTGAAAGCGGAAGTCAAATGGTCAAATGTGATCCCAGGAATGGAAAGTATATGGCTTGCTGCCTTCTTTTCAGAGGGGATGTTGTCCCGAAGGTTTTAATCTTTGAAGAAGGAGAATAAATGTATTTATAGGATATCAACTCTGCGATCGCAGTTATTAAAACCAAGCGAGCCATTCAGTTTGTGGATTGGTTTGTTGTTTCTAGAGTTAAGATTTCAGTGGAATAGTTTAGGTGCCCCACGGGATTCAAAGTTGGTATCAACTTCCAACCACCTACTGTAGTTCCTGGAGGCGATTTGGCTAAACTGCAAAGAGCTGTCTGTATGTTGTCTAATACAACAGCCATTCAAGAAGCATGGGCTCGGTTAGATCACAAATTCGACCTAATGTATGCCAAAAGAGCGTTCGTTCATTGGTAATAGTTTTACTTCATTGATCATAGTAACTTTCATTGGTTCAGGTATGTAGGAGAAGGTATGGAAGAAGGGGAATTCAGTGAGGCTCGTGAAGACATGGCTGCGTTGGAAAAAGATTATGAAGAGGTATAATCTGAAAAATTTAACAGGATTGCATTTTTTTCTAATTAAAGGTCGGTGTGGACTCATTTGACCCTAACGAGGATGATTATTGATTTGAAAAGCATTTCTTTGAGATAGCTTATGTGCAAAGCAAGTGTGATAAGTGTACATAAGTTATTTTTATTATTTTTATTCTCATTGATTGTATAATCCTATCGTGCTGAGTTGTCAATAACGTTTGAAAATCCATTATATTCGGATAATAATAAATAGTTTGTTCGTGTACGTGAACACCTTGTATGTTTGATATTCAAATTTCCTGAACAGATTGTGAAACTTTGCATTCTACTTGTGCCAGACTCAGTGAACGGTTGTTTCTTTGCTGATGATATAATATTGGTTTCAGAACCTCGCATATGAAACGTCATTGGTTGTAGTAGACATGAAAGTTCTTTGACCCACCCTGTCGTAAGACTGGATGAAAAAAGGAAAACAAACAAATAAGCTGTAAAATTGTGAAACTTTTCAATAAAAGTTAGGAAACGTGTCTGTGGAGCTGTTGAATTGATGAAACGGGAGAATGATAAGAATTCCATCTACCTTCTTATCGTTTAACATTTAGATTTAAACAATTAGTAAGTTCATTATGGATTTTTATTGATAAAATGTCATTCATCCGTTTACTATTTTTGTTTTTCAGCTTAGTAACAGGTATTCTATGAACTTCCATTAATTAGCCGCCAACTGTTTCAGTATACAACGCTTATTGGATATGTCCACTGGGTTATCTAGTTGCAACTGATGGTTCTTGTTATAAAGTGAGAAAGCATAAGAGAGTCACATGTAATTCTAATACTTTTAGGTTTATGAAGGTGCTGTTTTTCGAAATGAAGCTTTCATGAGGTGCAAAAGAGATGGAGCTCATTTACCTTTTGTAAGAACTCTCTCTGTGAGTGAATTTGAGAAATAACCAGTTCTAATATGATTGTTAGATTAACTTATTCCTTCGATCGAAGATACCTCCAGAACAGAAGGTTTGGTTAGGAGTAACTTGTGTCTCTGATAATGCTTGGAATTGTAAATATGACGATGGGAAAAGATTAGAATACCATAGTTTTACCAATGGTATGTGGTTTATTTCTTCAACAGTAATAATTTTATATGGCTCAGACAACCTAACTATCACTACATCTTCTAATGTCTATATAAAGGACGGAGAGTGGATTGTTTCGGATGGGATAAATGATAAAGCATCGTATATCTGCCAGTGGATTCCTAATGGTTTAATCTGTTCTAGGTGATATTATAATGGTATTTAGATGATGGTTGTCCGGAAGACTTCCGGGGATTCCGAGACAAGTGCTATTTGGTAGTGCCGCAGCGTTTAGTCATACAAGATGCGAGAACTTACTGCTCATCTTTCAATGCCAGTTTAGCAACAATATCTTCCGAGACTGTATGTTCTCGCCTGTTAGAATACTCGTTTCATCCAACGCTTCAGGAGAACGCTTTCATTGCGGCTTTGCTAAGTAAAATGAGCCTGTCCGAATTCGCTTACATTGGTGCTCTGGTGGGCAATGCTTCTGTCAACAGTTTCCGTTGGGACGATGCAAGCGTGCCTTCCTATTTGAATTTCGGTTGTTTCTATTTCATTTCTAGTAATGATCAGTTACAGGTTATTTCAATACGCTACTTGGTAATTGTGTAATCATTTCCACTCTGTCAACATCAAAAAACATTGTCGGACAAGGAAAATGGATCACTGCCAGTTGTGACAATGTTTATTCAGCAATCTGCAGTACAAGTATTGTTATTTTGTGTCTGTTTTCGAAGCAATGCTTCGGCTCTTCCAGATAGAACAAGTATTGAAGAAAGTACAGATCGACCGGATGTTTGCTTGGAACCTATTGTTCTTACCTCTTCTAATGGACAGGTTTGCTCTTGCCAGTTACCCTTGTATGAATATGTTACTTGTAGCAGGTATCATCTCCTGGCTATCCAGACTTCAGTCCTCCCAACGAATGTCATTATATATTAACAACTGATGAGAACAATCAGTTGCAGATCGACTTACAAACTTTTAAAATTCAAGGTTATGCTTATCAAGATAATCCAATATCTCAACTAATTATAAAAGACGATTATCTACAACCCAAACAATTGGTGACGTGAGGTCTCTTTTATAAGTGTGGAATTGAAGCTTTTTCTTACAGATTCGATAGCAATCAGACATCCTACTCAATACAATCAAAAAAGAACTCCATGCATATTATATACAAATCTTTTACCAACAAGGAATCTCAATTCACATTGAATTATAAAGTCAAGTCGATGTGGAATTTATGTCCATGCTCAGCTTATAATTCATTTCTCCTCTTCATACTATTTTATGTATTTTCTTTTTAATAAAAGTCTTGTCCACTCCAAGTCAACAGCTCATAAACAGATCCATGATAATTTAACAAATGCTCTTCTTATCAGCTCAATCAGTTCTTCATAAATTTTCTTTCATTCCAGTCCTTAGCTGATTATGAGACTTTTCTACCTGCTTATTTTCTTAAAATGTAAGTTTCGATTTCTAAAACAAACGTTATAATTATCTTTTACAGATTCCTCTGGACTCGACTGTCCTTTCGGAGATGGTATCTACAGAGAACTGGACTACTCTACTGTCTTTCAGAACTCCGTAACTCCGGAAATCCTTCCTAATTGTATGAAAGTGAGTTCTCCGAAAGTCGTTGACTTAAATGCTTTTATCTTGTTAGGCTCTCTATAAAGGAACTGGAGTAACCAGGTATGAGAGTTTGATGGATGCCAGAGGCTTTTACTCCATGTTGGACTGGCAGTATTACAAGCATTATCAAGTTAGCTCTTTTGATTTGATAGTTCCGGTTGCATGGTAGTTTCAGACGTATTTTCCCAACGTATTCCCCATGCAGAGTAAAATTTGGCTAGGAATCACGTGCTCCGATAACAATCCTCAGAACTGTATCTTGGATAATGGTAACATGGTGCCGAAAGATGTAGTCATGGATTTTGCAAATGGTTTTCACTTCGATTTGCGCTACTGACAATCATATTGTTTTCCAGGTCATCCTAACGTTGCGATAGGGCCATATGTATATGCTCTTTCTGTAAATGGTTCAACAGCACTTTATAGTTCGAGTAATAAAGCTGCCCTCAATGGTTATGTCATGCGTTATTCACCAGGCATCATTGTACTCAAAGAATGGAAGAAACAAACAACTTCCAGACAATTCGAACTGTCCCACTGGTTTCTCGGGCTATAAGGATATATGCTATTCCGCAAGTAATGAAATTGGGAACATAACTTTTGCTGAGAGTTATTGTAAAAGCATGGGAGCGGACGTTGCGACTATAACTGCTGATGACGTTAGTGCAGTCTTTACTTCTTGATTTAAACGGACGATTCAGTATAATAATATAGTGAAGAACATGTTGGATCAAACATTTTTCATTGGCTTCAGAAAAGAAGCAACAACATGGTATGATGGATCCGCATTTTCATACCAAAACTTCGGTTTTACACTTTCACATTCATGAATAATGTCCAAGCTTTTCAGGGAATGAAGATAGTGCTTTAGGATCATGTGTCGTTGTTAATCGGCAAAAGTTGAGCGATACCGGCTTCTTAATGCCTGGAGAATGGAGCTATGTTAGCTGTTCCGATTCATTCAATTTCGCTTGTAGTACTCGTGAGTCAACCAATCAGTCTGATCCCTTAATATGATATTTTTCCAGCTAGAACTGAAGAAAGCGATTTCATCAAAACGAATTACGTGTGTATAGAACCAATATTCATATCAGTTAATACATCAGGAACGGTTTGTCATAGATCCTGTTCTATCAAACAGATATTCAGCTTTTTCCACCTGGAAACAGTACGAAGCTCATGAACACATGTACATTCATATTGATTGCTCCTATTGGTAAAACTATCGAAGTTACAACGACTTTTGAGGGAGATCAAGCTGATGTTCGACATATCATACGTTTGACATTGTACAATGATGCTACAAGTTATGATAGATATTTACAGTTAGTTTCATGCAATGAGAGGAATGTTCTGAAACTAATTTTCTAGATACAACGCCCAAATGCATCCAGAAGGTGTTTTTCGCTCGAAAGCCAACAACATGAGGGTAGTATTCGATACGAATGGCAGCTCATTTAAATATAAATGGCATATAAATTACACTCTACTTTAATATCTGAGGCTTCTTGTTGTATCTGCATAATATATATGAATCGCATCCTTGTTCATGCTTTAAACAGCTACGCTACACGTGGCATACTTCAAACTGACGTTTTTCACGTGTGTTGTTGTATGAGCCATTCAGTTCTTCGATGTGTAGTGAAGCGGTTGCATTCTTCTCTTCATCTTTCTTTATCAACATACCCTTCTGTTTCAATCGATACTTCACATTTTGCCCAAATTCCGATGTGTTCCAATGTTTCTTAGTAGAAAACGAATAATTTTGTTTTGCTCACATATTAAAAGCTCTTTCATATAAATTATAGAAAAGCGGTGATTATTTCACAGAAGTTGAAGTCATGAGGTGGTTTACAGTGTTTGTCTTCATTACTCTCTCAGCATATGCCTCTCAGGTAAACAAAGTAAAGAAATCAGAAACTGGGAAACATTCAGAGGGATATCTGTAATAATTACGACAAAATCGAAGAACAGAAGAAATGTGGTCCAGATGGCTATCTCATTCATTACGGAAAAAGAAATTGCATAAACTTCAATAAGAAAGGTAATAAATGTGTAAACAACTTTTGAAAACTCATTTTCAGAAACAAAAGCCATGTTTGATCATGCAGGCAGAGTGTTCATCAAATGTACGACGCAGTGCTTGGTTGAATTCATGAATGATCTGATCGGGGTGCTCTTTAAGGAAGAATCAACGATATTAATTAGTTCTGTTTGTTTTTTAGAGTCAGCCTAATATAAGTTGTGATGAGATCAAAGACGAGGCGTTTAAATCACATGTGACCTGTTACTTGGATTGTGATTTTTGTGACGTATGCAAAACCAATAAGAAAGCCTTATTTCATACTTACTACTTCAAAGATTTCTTTTCAACAAAAGCAATTAGTCAGGTGTTTGATATCATAGCTAAGTGCGGCTTATTCAGTTGCTTTTCATTCTGAACAAAACGTTCCTTTTGTACTTTATTTGTTAAACTTGCATTAGCATTAGAAATGGATATGATTCAGTATTCCATTTGTTATCTCACGTCACGGGTTTTCTCTTTTTAAACAGCTAATATTGTTTTGATCTTCATTCTTGAATTGTAGCTCTGTCAGATATGTTACTTACATTTGTTCTAATTGTAATTTCGTCTTCCTTCGGATTGGTAGGAATGAATTCATCGTGTATATTCACTCTCACATCCTTTTTACAGGCTCATCCTACTTGTGAGAGCTATAAAGCTTTAGAGTTGAAAGCTAAATGTGGTTCAAAAGGATATCTTTTGCATTACGGATACCGAAATTGCAATAGTTTCTATAGCCCAGGTAATATGTAGATGATGCTTCGAAACTTTTCACTTAAGTTCATTATAATCAATTCGATCAAGTTGGAAAGAAATGGATTGATTGCACCGGAAAATGCTTAGCAACGAAAGCTCGTCAGATCGTATCGGTTAGTCAGAAAACAACAATAAAAAACAACAGCGAAATTTTCAGAGAACGAATGATTGTAAAGCAATTAAAACGGCAGCTTTTGATTCACATGTTGATTGCTACCTTCAGTGTGGAATTTGCAAAGCCTGCAAAACGAACAAGAATGCTCTTCGTAAAACATTTGACTTCCGGGATTTTGCGAATGCAGAATCTTTGAAGCAAGTTGTAGCTATTGCTGCCAAATGTAACTTGAAGTGTTTTATTTGAGAATGTCTAAATGCTAATGATAATCGAAGCTGTTAATTTGATGAGCAGAAGAAAATAATAAAAATCTTTGAAAAGTTCCAGTCATTTTCAGGTGTTTGAACACGAATTGATAGCCCCCTTAATAGGAAGATAACTGTATTATTAATCAGATCTTTCTCGAGTGCAGAAGCATTCGATGGATGAAGACAACGTTTTCCAAATGTGTAGTTCGAACGTGGAGAATTTGCTTTCCTGCGATCAATCCTTCTAGTTTGTTTCCCTAGTCATAGATTCGAAACAAAACTCGGCGCGCGATCTACTGACCTGCGCCAAATCCTTCTCAGCAGTCATTTACAACTTTTTCTGTCCGTATGTACTAGTTGAATCTATATGATTTCAATTGCGATTATCATACTGTCCTGCCGGGGATGTTTACAGAAGGACTTGGTTTCTCAGACGCTTGAATTTTTGAAAAAGAAAAGAAATGTTCTTCGCCATATTACCTTTCCGAAAGTGTTGTTATTTCATTGGAACCAGAATGGTCCTATGATAGAGATGAAGGTGGAAGCAAGAGTTCGTGAACATTGAGATTCCTTTTTGTTTCTTTGCTCTAAAGTCGTCGAATGAGTAGCTATGCTAGATGATTGTGTGATTTAGTTACTTGTAGGAGAGAAAGCTATCTTGGTTTGGTACATATGATATTTGGTGTGTGTTGGCTAGTAAGACTTCTGTTAAGTCTTATCATATGTCATCTGTGCAAAGTTAAATCTTTTACGATGTGACTTTCATGTATTCAACTCCTAGATAATAGTTTTGAATGTTCTCGAAATGTGTAACTTGAACTTTGATAGTAGCTATCAATCCTTTTAGTTTGTTTTGTTGGTGATAGATTTGAAAGACAACTCAGATCTACCTTGTTTCTCAGGAGCTTGACGTTTCTCAAAACAATTCTGGATTGATTCTTGTCTCATATCGGCGTTATTCTCTTCCTTTTGATGATTTCTAAGAAATTCCTTGTCCATTTCTAATCGTTTCACATGTTGAGCTGTTCATTTAATTCTGATTTACTTTTTTACAATCCAATCAATATGATGTTTCTAGTACGCTCTATATCATCTCAAACTACCGTTGTTATCAATTGGCATTGGTTCTTGCGAGTTATGACATCAACGACAGATGTTTACAAACATGGATTTCTCAGGTTTTTCTTAAGATTAGAAGAAAATAGTAAATGATTTATTTTAAGACAAGGAAAGAACAACTGCAACGGTGGAGGAGGATTCCCTCCTAATGTACTCGGAGGCCACAGAGGGCCAAGTATGTTAGGGGAAGAGGAGGGGAAGGTGTTATCACCTTCTTCTCCTGCAGAGGAGGAGGGAATTCGTTTCCTCCTCCTGAGGGGTTGGGGGGATTCGAAGATCCCCCCAAGAGAGGAGGGAGAACTCTCCATCTCTCTCTTAAAGAGGGAAAGAGGTGTTCTCCTTCCTCGTAAATGGGGAAAGGGATTACTGAATGTAGACAGGCGG